TATAATTATTTCATTCATTTATTTATCATTAATTAAATATAAAACCTATTTATTTCAAATAAATTGCAAATAGGCTTTTTCTTTAAAATATAATATGTTTTAGCCTACTTTTAGACCTTATAAAAAGCCAGGAATACAATTTTTAATATACAAAATAATTTTAAAATATTTTTATTTACTTTTTAGAGGCTATACCCTATACCTAGAGATACCCTATTCAGTGCCCTCTATTGTCATATTTTACCCTGCTTTCATTCCACATTTCAATTGTCAAACGAAACGTAATTAAAACCCATTACGACTCGTGGCGGAAGCTTTAGTTTCCATTGATCTGGATGCAGCCTCCGCCTCCCGTAAGGCAGCTCTTATCTATCCGGCTTATCAGGCCAAAATGGCAAGTGTTGACGCTCGGGTTGCGCAACCACAGACTACCACGGGGCATAGGCCCATTTAATTTATGGACCAGGTTTATGGCCATGATTAAGGGGGCAGCCGAAAAAATAAGAAGAGATCCCGTCCCTCAAACAACAACAATAACAACAGTCAGGTGTGCGTTGAAGTTTCCTTGATTTCCCTGATTTGCGGCTAAAATTAGGGGCTCTCTGGGGCTTATCAGCACACCACGAGGTTGGCCACTTGAAACTTGATTGCTCATTATTATTTGTGGAAAGCTTTACAATTATATGCCCATTGTGGGGCAGACGATTTGTTAATTACTAACAAATAGCTCTTTATTAGAGAACTGTCACCAGAGCTGATAGAGACTAGCATTGACCTAGGCTAAGAATTTTCCAGAGGGCCCGTCGATCAGCAAATTTATGGTGCGATGTCAAGACTATTTATAAGCTTTCTTCTAACATATATTTATATAGCAGGTTTAGCAGATAATACCAAGTCGATAAGAGCTTAGTCAGCCAATGAATTATGCAACAAGGAATTAGAAACGAAACGGACTAGAAACTGGGACTAAACTTTGCTCAATGACGGTCGTGGGGCCCCCATTGATAACCCCGAGAACACCTTATCAAGTTCTGGTAGGAGGGAGCAACTAAGTTAATCACATTTCTGTTTCACGGTTTGCCAAGCACAAATATAACAGCTGTGGGCTTGAATGACATCAACGGACTGTGAAAAATCACAATGTTACAAACTGGATCGGATTTAACATAGAAAGATTGTGTCTACAACCAGTTTCCTGATCATATGATGACACTACATATTGTCCAAAGACCCAAATTTCCGTTTAATAGAGTTATTAACTTAGCGCCTGGGCACGCGATCAAACGCGCTTGATTGATTTATCAAATTTGATTAGCACTAAATTATCGTTTAACCCGTGAGTAGTGGCTCATAATCAAAGGCATGTGTCAAAAAAAAACTTATATAAAATCTGGTTTGGTTTTGGTTTGGTTTCCATTCACAGAACAAGCTGCTGCCAAGATCAAGCTAACTAACAACTTCTTTATCGGAACTGTTTGACCTTCGAGGCAGCCGAAAAAAGTATGTGCTTGTTTGGTTTTTTTATTATTATTTTTCAGTGAGTAGGAGTATATTGCGCAACGCATATTTCCCAGTCTTAAAGTCTTAGAAACTGATCAATTTAGCTTCTACAAAAACTATGCAAAAATCGCCTGATCCAAGAATTATGGGTCTAGCATGTAGCATTCCATTTGCCTTTACTTATCAGGCCTTTATTTTCACTTTATTGAATCGAAGTGACCCCGGCAATCGTGTTGCTATACTTATTTTTCAATGATAATTTTGATAAGACTTGCCCACGAGCCGACGTCTAATTAGTATAAAAAAAAAAACAACAACTCTACACATTTATATATGTATATACAGTCTAGCATTTAAAGTAGAGCAGCAGACAAATGTATGCGTAGAAACATTTTCCAAAAAAACCCCGAAAGAAAAAAAAACAGTGGCACACTTTTATAAAAATAAACATTCTCCGGTAAAGAAATTGTACAAGCAAGTGTTAAATGAATGTCAAATGCACAAGACATAATGTCGTAAACTTGGCCAGAATAAATATATAAAAATTAACTCGATTCCCGGCTGCATTACAATTTGGCTTTGTCTAATAATTACCCCGGTCTCAAGGTTGTGCAATCGTGTGGGATCACTAGCTTAGCTTAGCTATCTATCTATCATCAGGTGCAAATGCTAAATAATGCACATAATTACAAGTCAATAATCTGCCAGTTGATAAACAACAATTTTTAATTAAATATTATATGTGCAATGGCAATGTGCTTAGGTGTTTTCAATTGTTCTTAGCTAGTCTGATCAGGCGCCGTGGGAGGAAAGGGGTTCGGGTTCCTACTACCGCATTTTATGGAGATACTGCCTGAATATGCAATATGCCCTGGGCTATAGACAGGCGATAACGAGAAATGGAAAGTTAAAGGGGGAGACTGAGATAACCAATTCACCAAGTCTGAGTCTGAATATTTGAATAAAATCCACATTTATAAGCACACGCACTCTTTCTCTCTCCTCAGGGTTGGTATGGAAAGATTCCATTAACTTGTCACAGCTTTTAATTTATCACCAGGAAGCCAGCTTCAGCTTCAGCTTCAGAGATATTTACAAAAATTATATTAAAACCGCCAAAAACGCGATACACATTTTGTTCGACGCCTGTCAACGAACCGCAAACCTTTTTATATCAAAAAAATCGCAGCAGCCTTTCTTCTTTTGCTCTTGTTTTTGGGGGGGAATTTTAAGACAAGTTTGCTAATTAATTAACGCACACCAAGGCACTCACAGCACGCACACACACACACACACACTGGGTAGTCACGGGGAGACCAACTAACCTGCGTCGTGGTCGATCGGTTGTTTGCTATTGAGCAAAAAAAAACGCCTGGAGCTAAAAAATACGCGCGATCGAACGAAGCAGTGGGCGCTGCCGACGTCGCCGCCTGCGGCGGACACCATGGCGTATTATTATATTGCTGCCGCATAACAAGCAGCAACAAGCTACTGCTTGCTCAGCAGCAGAAGCAGAGAAAAAAGCAGCGGCAAAAGCAGAGGACACAGCAGCAGCAGAGGCAGCGGGAGCAGAGGAAACAGCTGCAGCAGAGGCAGAGGGAGCAGAGGAAACAGCAGCAGCAGAGGCAGCGGGAGAAGAGGCAGCAGCAGCAGCAGAGGCAGAGGGAGCAGAGGCAGCAGCAGCCTGCTGCGTCAGCGTCAAAAGTTCGGCTCTTATCGCTCCAGCTGGCAGTGATGGGAGCTTTTGATAGCGATAGCGGGTAATTTAATTCGTGTAAATATTAGCTTGGCATTAGGTTGTGCAGATATACCAAGTAGAAAGAGCTGCGCAGTCGGCAAGCAGGTTCAAGCAGTGTTAAGCAGTGTCGAGCAGAGAATGGCTTTATAAGCAGTGTTTAGACAAGCAGTTTTAAGACCAGCTTCCGCATAAGCAGTGCCTATGTTGAGGAACAGCATCAACAGCCCAGTCGATCTAGCCATGTCCGTCTGTCCGTTTCTACGCAAATTAGTCCCTCAGTTTTAAAGCTATGTGAATGAAACTTTGCATATAGTCTTCTTACAAAACTTGCATTTTTATATTCTTTTGTAAACAAAACCAAAAAGTTTAAATATAGTAAAAAAAAAAAGCTTAAATGAATCAAACAGCCGGAACAAGCTATAAATAACAAAGTGATATAAATACACTTTAATAACATACAATTATAAGCTTTATAGCCTTTAATTGTTCAGATGAAATAATTGACAAAAGACTCATCTTACTTAAGACAGCTCTCCCATCATTGTTTACCCAAAGTTAAATAATTAAGCAAGTTAACAAAATGCTTTTGAGTACAAAGACCATATTTAAACCCACACAATCATCACACAGCTTGGCCTAAACTATTACAAAGCCCCATAATTCTCATAATGGCACATTATAAAATGCTAAATAAATATAATTAGGCAAAAATGTGTTGGCCTAAGGCTTATTTAACTATCATTTTAAGCAATTATCGAAACTATTAGGAAGCCGACATCAGAGTCAAATCAACAGATGACAAAATCCAAGCCAGCTAAACGATGATAATCATCATGATTATATGTACTTATAGATGAAATCACAATAACACCTGATATTGTTTTCAAGTGGCCCTTATTTTCTATATACCCGATAAGAGTTAGTACTATAGTTTTAACCTACATTTGTTTACCTTTAATTGATTTTTATTTTGTTTACACTTACCTTCAAGGTGACTGGAAAACTTACCCAGAGTTTCCTCTCTGTCTCTCTCGAGATAACACTTATCACTCAACGCGTCACTTATAGATCGAAGGCTTTCCATAACGGATTTCCTTGTGGCCCTGACACTCGCGTGCCGCTTTGACACCAAACGGTTAGCCTTTATGACGCGCACCTTAAACGATGCGACATGCACCTCAATGATTTGCATAGACCATCGGAACTTTTGAAGTTCACAAATAAATTATACAACACAATCGATCGATCGATCGAGGTAGAAGCAATTTAACGCGCTCCGAGCGGAGATTAATAAAAATAAACTCAATGAAACCGCGACGAATCAAAGAGATGCCTTGGAACACGGATGGTGGGATTGATTTTTATCCCGCCAACGATCCACTTTACTTATTTTTTATGCTTAATTTCTGGTCCAAGCCCAGACTCTCTTTGATTTATGGACACATCATTTTCGTCTAGCGTTGGCTCGTTAGCCAAAAAACACAAATAACTGGTTTGACGGCCTGCGAAAATGCTAAATAAATAAACAATTCAGCGGCATTTTCTTGTTGTTGTTGTTTTTCTTATTTGCACTTTGGTTCTTGGCCAAAAATATATTTTGTTTCGGCGGTTTTTCTGTTTTTTTTTTCTTTTCAACAAACACACTTTAGGCACGTGACGCGAATATTGCGTATACGCAACGTGGCACGCGAAAGTGTGTCAAATTGTTGATGTACGAAATAAGCGAATGTTGTAATATAAATAATAGCAAATAATATCACACCTTTTGGGCTTTTGTTTGGCATTAGACCCGCTCGTACCTCCTGCACCTGCACTGGCACCTGTCTCGCTGCCCATCTTTATTTGCTGACCGAGAACCGTCGACTGTTGTTGTTGCGTTGGCATTTCTTCGCACTTTTACTTTTAGTTTTACTTGTGATTTTATTGTTTATTTACTTTTCCTTGGTTTGCCTTTGTATTTCACTTGACAACTAATTGAATTTCCCGTTTGCAATGGTAATTTTTTTTGCCTGCACAACTCCACCACTGCGCGCTGCGTGTCGTGCGAATTCGGACTCTTGACTCGCGGACGTTGTATCTGTATCTGCGGAACGAGTTCGTAGCTGTATCTGTATCTGCATGCGCCGGTGCGTTGCGTCGCCTCGCATGTGAGTTTATTTCGACCGATCAACTGACTGACTGAGAGTAAACACTGTCGCCCCGCTGAGCACCCATCAAAATCAAATATCGCAAAAAGGCAGGCCATAAAATCAAGGCAGCAACAAATACACAAAAAAACAAAACAAAACAAAAACTACACAAGTGCCATTAGACACGATACCTTTTAATAGCCCAGGGGGAGGTATATTCGATATAGATAGGGTATAGGGTATGATCATGGGTTCAGGGGAACTTCCGTCAGGCTAAATTGGAAAATTCCCCATTGGAGTTAATCTAGATAGTGACAGACAGTCTATACTCTCTAACTAGAACTTTAATTTTAGACAAAAAGATATACTATAAAGTTGGTTATAGTTAGTGAAGCTCCTCTATCTCTTTGCCAAAAGTTCACCTTGACTTTACCCTTAAGATAGTAGAACCTATCACTTCCCCTTATATCTAAACCTCTCTACTTTACTTGTCCCTCAAGATAGATTTGTCTGCTCGGTATCCGGTTAGTCGAGTCCCAAAAATTTCCACTATTTTTTCGGCTTTTGTTTTGATTCCACAGATTTTTTGCTGAACTACAGACGCAGAGGGTCAGCTCACTTGATGAGATCTCTTGTGGCGCTTTTTGGGGCCATAAGAGTCTTATAATTGACGGTGTAATTGAGTTAGATATATTGTATGAATGCCTAACCTTTGTTTTCGCCCAGTGCAAGCTAGTTTTGACCTTTATCTATATGGATTTATATCGAAACACAATTTGTATATATCCCCACTGACGCAGAGATCGGTTCCACATTTGATTATGTTCGATTGTGGGTGTTTTTAGGGTTCCACCAAGGGGGGTTAACCAGGGTTTCTCTCTCTATATATCCAACGCTGCTCCAATAATTCTATGCCGATATTGATATGTGTACTTTGCCATCATTTATCGGCAACGCTTTTATTGGGGGAGTATTTGTGGTATATTATAGATATTGTTACTATTGTAGATAAAATCAATTGCCAAACAGCTCTGTGGGCTGTGAAAGGCAGACAGCGTTTACTGAATTTATTGAATCATAAACTCCCTTTATGAGCATATCGGAGGGGCTGGGCTACCAGTTATGAGAAGGTACTTTGGGTACTTTGAAATAAGTATTTGCTTTTTTTAGCATACTTTAAGGTGTTTTTCTGAAGGGTTTTGCATGCTTTTAGGCTTTATATTTAAGATATTTGTTGATCTGTAATGATTTCTTTAAATAAAACTATACATTTATACAAATTCCATGGATATATTTTATTTTCTGATATTTATGAAGCAAAAGTGGTGAAAATGAAAGCGGTTTTATCGACAGCAAAAGCTTTTAAAGCTTTTCTTTTCCGTTTTCCACAATATTTGAAACACTGTCAGCCTGTAGAGGACGCTAGTTAATGTCTATATGGCATGTTAAATGTAAAATATGAAAGATACAAAATATATATACTCGGATATATCATATATAGGTAATAAACCTATATAAAACTTGATTGAAACCTATTTTTTATACCCTTGCAGGGTGAAAGAGTCATTTTAGAGCCTATAAATCATATATATTCCTGATCAGCATGAATAAACTTTTCAGTAAATTAAATACACCTTAAGCTAAAACAATTTCGTGTATTGTGAATCACTAAGTAAACCTTCTTATAACCCCTTTAGCAACCAATTACTTACTATTCTTGTTGGCGGAAACGGATATGTGATTTTTGAAGAAATCAAATATTGTTAAAAAAAAGGCTTCCCCTACCTTTTCTATTAATCCAAAAAGACCCCGTGTGGACATCAAGTTGACGCAGTTGCGAGATCAAAAATAACCGACTCTCAACGATTAACAGGAATTAACATGTATCGCTAAAGTCGGCCAAATATTGACACGGTTCGGAGTCGGAGTGACGGAGATCGGATATATCCGGTCCAAGAAGCGAGTGAGGAGCAGGAGGTGATGTACGGGTACGAGGGTCCGGGACCCTGGGGCCGGTTAATGTGAGTACGTATAATCGATTTCACACTACTTTTTAATCACTACAAAACATTTATTGTTTGCCCGCAGCGAGAAAAGTCAAACAAAAAAGCAAAAGCGGCATAGCGACGACCACTCCGAGTGGGTCGAACGCTGAACAAATTGACTTGGCCACATAATTAGGCACTTGCCCATGTCCATATGGCTCGGACCAGCCCCAGCTATATCCACATCCACATCCATCGGATCCCATGCAGTTAAAAGTATCTCACGCAGTTTGGACAAAAGGTTTTTATTGTGCGTACCCGTTGACAGCTTCAATCGACGTTGGGGTTTGGCTTTAGCTTTTGGGTTCGGTTCGGTCCCAGGGTCCCCCGTCATCGTTTGTTATATTTGTTATTTATTTTGCGGTTATAATACTTATGCACAGGCCGGGATATTGGCATCCCCATTCAGTGGGGACACAAAACACATCGCGTTTTTTACAGTTTCCAGGCACCGACGACGAAATGATAAATTAGCTTTGTACGTAAATTCAAAATGGGAAATCTGTATGTGAAAATATCCCCATATTCAGAGAATGTAAGTAATTGTGTAAATATCTTGTCTCCTCTGCATGACAATACCAGAGAGAGACTTCCCCCGTCGTTTCCCTAGGAGGACAACAATGAATGCCACATTATTATTTTGTAGTTTGTCAACTCCGACGGAGACGTCTCTCGAAAAACCCGAAAATAAAGGCGTTTGCGAGAGATGAGAGCGATGTGATAATTCAATGTCGTCCGGCCAGCGCACGGATGCAGATACAATATCTTTTTATACAAGCGATGACCGCGCAGGCCTCAGGAATTGTAATTACACGCGGCTGTCGCGCATTTGTATCTTCATTTGTTGTATCTGTATCTCGCGTAAATGTATCTGCATCTGTATCTCTGTCTATGTGTGGCCAACAAAAGGCCTTAGCATAACAAAGCCCTGGTTGTAAGCTCTCCTTTCTGTTTCGGTTAATAAGCATCGCCTAAATAGTGTCAATGATTAATTGCTTTTGTGATTAGATGGAAATTTAATAGATTTCGTTGTTGTTTTTTATTCTAATTGAAATTCTATCAAGGTGCCAGGGCGTAGCCGGAGGCACGTCGGCATTTATCTGTCTCTGCAGCATCATTATTACCCTCGGCACAGCAAGAGTGAGTTCAGTTATTTGTCAGCTTTTTTTTGTATTTATTTTTTATTTGCTCTGCTACCGCGCCCTCTGGAAATGCTAACCCATCTCTTAGTGCTCGTGTGCACTCGTAGAAAATATATAATTATCTTTAAATTATTATAATTAGTTAATGTTATTGATTGAATATTCAAGAAAAGGAAAAGAAGCCTTAATAGATACTTTAACTACCATAGTTGCCTGTGATTTCAACCTGCTGTTTCTAGTATCTAATATACTATATTAAAATAATCTCTCCCCTATTTATAAACCCCTTTCTTTCTGTGTACAAAATAAGCTGTCTCATTGTTACCAATTTCGAATTCAAATTGAAATTCACACGCGTCACGCTGCCAAGAAAGAAGTGCAAGAAAATGCTTGATCTGCTTTGGTAGCTACTCCTCTTCCCCACCAACTTGTTAGCACACTCTCCACACACACCATACACACACCCACCCACCTATGTACATCCCACACCCAAATGGAATTCTTCTTATATTAAATGTGTGTAATGCCACCGCAAAAATCCCCAAAGCCGGCCCAAGACCACAGCCAAAGAAACGGAAATAGATACGTAGTCCAAGTGCAAGCTGAAGAAGTCCTTCCAATCTGTTGAAATCCCACACAAAGTCGCTAAAAGAAAACACACATTGAAAGGGGAAATTCAAGTGGAAATTACTCAATTACAACTACGTGCGGCTAGGGGTTGACTTTTTTCGAATTGCTACCGACGGACGCGTCGTCCTGATGTGAAACCCTACAAATCGAAGGCTATATATGTGATATATGCAATGTTTTGCGATAATTACACTACATAAAAGCCAGGGGGAGACAATTATGTAACCCGATAAGCGGCGGGCAGTGTGGAAAACTCTAGACAGAACTTGTGAAATTAATAACTGACTCCCCTCGCTGGCCAAACATATTTATTACAAATAAAGAGACAAACACAAAAGGCAAACAAAACACACAAATAAACACTGAGAGACTTGGCCCAAAACATTCGAAAGACGGTACAACAAAGCGTTTTGGAGCATTTAATAAGCTTAACTAAGCAGGTGGAGCAAGGGGGAGAAGTACTACATGCCGGAAGAGGGAGAGGGTCTAAGACGCCCTAAAGTGTTGACATTTTTCTGTGGTGCGAATTTGAGCAGAAAACTCAATTCTGGTTACTATAATTGTATCTTTTCTTTGATTGCTTTGATCACTGGCGGGGCACGTAATGGATATTTAAGCCTCTGGGCTGAGAGTGTGCTCTATAGGAAGGTGGATTGATTAGCACATAAGGATTTGCTTTTATTTGGGAAAAGATACAATCGGTTTTAATGGGGAATCGTTTTAAGAAGCACGTAACTTTGAGATTGAGGGGATTAATAAGAGGTCTTAATGAGTTCAACAGGAAAATTTGATAGAAAGAAAAGCTGTTTAATAGCACTAAGATCAATAATTTCCACTTTGAAACTAAGAAGATTCATAAAAATCAATTCCAAATAGTCTTTGCTTTTAATCTTTCCGTACAAATAGTACAATCCCGTATCTAACCCCCCAAAAGATACACAAATTCCACCTTTAGATACAAATAAATATCTGCCAAGCAATAAAAGATACTTGCGCATCTTGCAGCTACTTGTTCCGCAAGTTTCTGATTGGCTCAGCTCCAGGAAAGTTGTTTGATTAGACACTTAAGAGTATCAGACAAATGGCTGGTTCAGTAAGAGATGCAAATGTATCTAGCAGATACATGGACATTAAATTCGCCCGCCAACCACCCACAAATGTATCTCGTTTCGTTTCGATTCCAACATT